TTCAGTGATGGATGACATTACCTACTGGTACATATAAGAAGATAATACTTGTATGGCACTTTGTGTGTTTCCCGACATACTACCACACTATATATCCTCATTTCTGCAACCTCCTTCAATGAGTGAGCAGCCTTTTCAACTGCTTACCATGACTCTCAGATTATATATATATTTTTAAAGGAACATAAGGGAGAAAAAAACTCAGAAAATACTATCAGGAAATGGAAGGAATTTGAGAAAAGGGACAAAAAGTCTTCAAAATACATAGTCCATTGGATACACCCAGAGCAGGAGAGAACCAAAGAAAACCAAAAGAAATCAAGTAAAAGAATCCCAAGAAAAATCCACAAAACCCAGGATCCCTCATTCACTGTCTCCTCCAGAAGGTGGAAGCAGCGACGCAGCTATCCCTGCCATGGAAGCGGGCACAAAGCTGGCAGCTCCTGCAGGGCTTTAATCGGAGCATAGCACTCAGACACCAAGAGCAATAACCTCTGGGATGAAAATCCAGATAGAAGAGAAAAAAATCACCCACTCAGCACTAGGTAGAGACTTTCTTCTTCTTTGAAAAACTAAAATCCACTTGCTGTGCAAAATATTTTATGCTGGAAAGGCATTAGTATTGCTTTTATTAAATGTTTCAAAGCTACTCGCTCTTATCAAAGCATGATTAAGTAGTGGTATTTAATAACTTATCTAAGGCCATTAGGTGAAATGATGTCACCCTCTCTTTGGCAGTCATTCATTATGCTGTCATCACTACTGCCTTGAGAATACTTGGCAAGTTATCTCCAGGAAAAAAGAAAAAAATACCCTACATGAGACTAATGTTCATATCCAACCCGATATAAGTGCAGTAAGTAGTAAAGATACATATCCCAGGCATTTTTCACCTTGTACAAAGGACAGAGATGCAAATATTCCCAGAAACCCCATTCTGTCCTAATCACATGATTAGGTGTCCACTGACGATATTTATGCTGTGAAGGTTGTTAGTGTTGTTCATATTGCAGCAGAACTAGCAAGGTCCACTTGATATGAGGACTCCATTTGACAAGATGCTGCACACACAGCTAGTAAAAAAGTTTATCATCTAACTGCACCAGACTAGAAATAGTTGGGGAAGAAAAATCGAGAGACAGAGAAGTGATGTGATCTGCCCAGAATCACAAGCACCTCGTACAACAGTGACTATCAAAAAAGTTTCATGTTGATAGCAGTACATTGCCTCTGCCTGAGTAAAATAAAGCTCTGAAAGCCACAGAAACATTGTGCCACCAATGAACATCCCAGAAGGACTCAGCTCTGTCTTCAGCATGCCTTTAAAAAATCTCTCCTCTCTGTGCAGCTGCCCATTTACACAAAGCCAGAAAACACAGTTTCCAACACATTTAGTCAAAATTGGCTATAGGTCCAAGTCCTATTTGAAGGACAGAGTACTAAGCACACAAATCTCATTTTTTCAAGAAACTAAGCCAAAAACAATATTACGACCCCAGGATCATGTGTGTGGGTGTTTTCTGGATGATCCGTTATCATCTCACTGCTCCTTGGAAATGCTAGAAAAGGTCAGAACAGCCAGAAATGATGATAAGAGGGTAAGAAAAACAATATAATGTGTAGAAAACCCTAAGTCTAAACTCAGCTCTAAAACAAGTCTGGAAGGCTTCCGTGCTTGCTAGCTTTAAACATGACCCAACAACAAATTTGGATCTTTGGGTCTGCTCTCTGAAACCTCAACCTTCACCCTGACATGAAGCTGAACTTCAACAGCAAGTCTGATTGATGTTAAGCCATCTCAGATAACTCTCCCACAAGCAACTCCAAATTATGAATACCTAAGAAATGTCTCTCCACCACCCTCTGCCTGGATCAACATGAACAACCGACATGCAGGTCAGTGGGACATTGCAGGAGGAAGACTAACCACAAGGCTGCCCCTAAATACACACTAGTAAAAAGAAAAAAAAAAAAATCTCTATTTTGCATAGAATGGAGCAAAAAACTGAGTAGTAGCCAAAGCCCTAAACAAAACTCAACAGCTTGACAGCCCTACATATCTGCTCATCTAAATTAGATAGCAGACACAAAACAAGCAATAAAATACAATGTGCACTCTGGGTCAGTCTCCACCCAGTGACACCTTAAAACCCACAATGACCTAAGATCAAACCAAACCCTACCAAAGGAGTTTCTGTTGGGCACAGAACCAGGTGACAGTGGATGACGACTAGACAATTCCTTTTACATCCAGTGCAAACCCGATTGCACTAACGCTTACAAAACCTTTAATCCTAACTCTGCCCTGAAGCCCAGCGCTAGAGAAGCAACCCTGCCAGACCAAAATTATTAGTAAGAAGGTAGCCACTAACCACAGCAGTCCTAAACTTAGCTCAGCAGCTTATTATGTACCAAGCAAAAATCCAGGTTCTCCACCCAGCAATGGAACAAACTCCAGCCTCAAATGATTCTTAACACTAGAGGGGCTGTTCTTGCCAAACACAGAGCTATGTGTAACAAGGTGGCTGTGACAGCATCAGTTCTAACCTTAATTTCCTTCAAAATCCTGAAAAAAAATTACTCCTAACCCTAGTGTAGCATTGAGCAGCACATGCTCACTGATGGTAATAGCACATGATCTGTGTCACCTGCCAGAAAACCAGGTCCTTTGTCCTCCTCTGACATAACCAAACGCAAAGTCCAATTCAGCACCAGAGAAGCAACATCTGCCACTGCCCAAATTTACACAATACCTTTAAACGTAGCTATACCACTTATTATACACATCCAGGAGAAACCAGGAACCTCCTGTGATACCACAACAAACTCTAAATGATCCCTAACCTAAGGCGACAAGGAGATGGCCAGGTACAACAACCTCTTAAAAGCTTGGCTCTCTCCTGATTCTAGCTTTAACATTGCATGAGTGCTATACGTCCAGGATTTAGTATTGTTGCCATCGCTGCTTGATGTACTTTAAGATCAGGGTCAGAGACCCCAATGATCTCGGTCGTTTAGGACGTGTTTCTCATTATTTTGAGGCTGATATCAATCCAGGTCAAGACTCTTACTAGTAGACCTTTCCCCTGTCTATGACCTGGATGTATCTTTACCTTTATAGTTCAAACTGTTTTCTTCTCTGCCTGTTAAAAATTGAATATAAAAAGGCAAAGAGCATTCACTTCCAAAACCTTCTCTCTATATACAGTCTTGAACAGAAAAAAAGAGCAGTTATCTATGTTTCAGTGGTGCATAAACCCAGAAAAAAATATTCAAAAGCAGGTGTTGAAAATGGTTGAGAGATGATGAAACCATGTGACTATGGAGTCCTTTTTCCTATTTTTTTCTGACAAGAGAACTGTCCAAATACTTGTTTTTTATGTATCACCATACAAAGCTGTTGCTGGCATTAGAAAATTGCTCACCTTGAGGACACGTTTCACTTGCAATGAGCTCCCGATATAGATGCAGATACTTGGAAACTGAAAACAAGCTCAAGAGCTCACATCGTTTGCCTGTTTTTTAGAACGCGCTGTCTTACATCAGCAGCATTTTACTAGTGCAGGGACGCATTTCTTGTATAACTGTCTCTACATGGGAGCACTTTATTGGCACTGTCATATTATAAATCCTGAGTTTTCACATCCAGTCAGAAAGAGACGCATCATAAAAATTATATGGTTTAGATAGTGGTTGGGCATTTTTCTTTCAGTCAGAGCTCTTTTGAGCTGCTGTGTTACTTTGTGTCTTACTTTGAACACAGTACAAAATTAATCCACTTCATGGATTCAAGTATGTGCTTTGCATCTAAGCCATCTTATGTTTGTATTCTGTTCAAGGTGAAGAAAATAACAAACAGCTATTCAGATATCCCCCAAAAAGACAAGCGTACAGAAGCTTCTTATATCAATACAGTAGTTGAGGCAAGATCATCCTAAGGGCATAAGCTATCTTTCAACTCTAGCATTATTTTTATTGATAATAAAGCCTACCTTTTTACAATGGCAATACAGGCTGAGGTAAAAGTCCCTTAGACACATGGGAAGATCAGGGTGTTACAAGAAAATATACGTTTCTGTTCTTGTCCTGTAATTCAAGCGTGTCTAACTTCACTTGGCAATAAAGCTGCTGCTTAAAATCCCTTTTTGGTAACAGGTTCTGCAAAACAGAGGAACACAGGTGCTCAAAACCTACCAGAACAGCTGGGATGGTGCTGCAGGTCTTGGCCCTAGCAGGGAAAAAACTGGAAGAAGCCCCACCAGGACAAATAAAGGCAAAAGACGGGGCCTGCCTAGCCCTGGGTCAGACCAGAAAGGACAAGTCACAGCTACGGTCCCATCCACCGCTAGTGCTTTATGTGCTACTGAAGTTAATTGCTTTGTAACAGCCGCCTGTCAGAGAAAACGTTTCCAACATAGCCGTGCAGCTGAATTTCACACAGGTCATGCAGTGACGGGTAAGACCAACCCTGTGATTTCATGGCCATAACGCAAAGCGAAGTTATCTCTCCTCAAAACGTCAGACGTCCTCGGGAAACACCTTCCCTCAGAGAGCCCGCCCTTCCAGCCAGCCCCTTCCACCAGCCGCTTCACAGACGCGGAAACCCACGTACCCCTCCGCTCTCCAGAGCCAGCGCCTCTGGGCCCGGCTCCCCCTGAGGGGCAGGTGGAGGGGAGGCCGCCCGGGCTGAGGGACACCCGGCAGCCCCCATAACGTTCACCCCGGCCCCGCCCCTCCACCCCTCAGAGGCGGGGCGGGGC